TTCCAGGTAAGTCAGGAAGAGAGCAGGAGGCCCCCTGCTGAGAAGGGGAGTCCTTCCATTTGGTGCCTAGCCCCTTAGAGCTATCCGGACATGGAGGACTACAACCCTAACAGCAGGGTTTCCCAACAGAAAGCATGACTGTAATTAATTAATTTAGTGAATTGAGGGGAAACACCCATGCTGACACAATGACTTACTGGCTGGTTTGGCATTGGCTGTTTTGCTTGCTGTACAGAGACCCACTTGCATGGATGCAGTCAGGACTCTCACCACTGTGCATTCCTGTGGCAACAAATAAGGAACCAGTTGCATCCAGATGATTCACAGAGCCAGAGAGAGCCATAGGTTCTAGAGAGCTGATATGCTGGCGATGTCCTTGACTTTTGAACCTTTTGCCTATCACAGTGGTTTCTGGACTTTCAGAGGAAGATTTAATTGTCTTTGTTAATTGTCATGCCAATGGCAACAAGTCTCACATTTTAATTTAAAAAAAATTTGTATTCAGTAGATTTGGACATATATGAAGGAGCATTTTTTGTGAAACATTGTAGATGATTCTGAGGTAAGTGGTTTCCAGACCCTCGCCCCCTTTGAAAACATGGATTAAAGTAGTATAATTTCTATGTAATGATATTTGTATGGGGAGAAAGTGGCTAAATACTAAAAAGTCTTGTTTCTGCTGAAGATGAAATGGCTAGATTTACCTTTGACTTGAAACAACTAATCAGATAATGTATATATAATTGTATTGGCTGTTTAATTAGGCTCTTATAAGAAATTTAGAACACCAGTTTAGAAGGATATAGCATATTTGTTAGTACAAAAAGCGATCACAGGTAGTCCTTGAGCTGAGGAATGGCTTTGACCTTTGGCAAACTTTTCATGTCCACAGCTTTCTGATCAACTTTGCTCTGCTTTTTAATCTTGTATTTCTCTTTCTTCATGTCAAAGATCTCACTTTCCCGATGCCTAGGCTTCCTCAGTTACATCTTCTTGAGGTAAGCATTGAGTTGTTGGGTGCTTTTCACATTGCTGATAGTGACTTTTGTGGCGGTGGCAGTGGCAGATTCCTGGTATGTTCTGTGCAGAGGAACTCAGTGGAGACCAAGATATCCAGTCACAAGAAGCAAACCACTGCCCAGCTGCTTGAGGAAAACCATTCTCTTGCCCCTGTGGCACCTGATGAGGATGATCACCAGGGATGATGTTGGCACAGCCTTCTCCTGTGCTGACTGAAGGTCTTTTTGTCTTGGCTCAGCAGCTTACACGACACACCTTGGGTGGGCTAACACTTAGGCATTTTTTGAAACTTAGCTACCAAGGTACCATCCTTTTCCTCATCAACCTTTGTGTGACAGTAGCAAGAACTTTCACCTTTCTGTCTTTTCAACCTTGGATTTCACCGTTGAGTACTTCCTCTTGTACAGGGTTATTTGGAATGCATAGCAGACCAGGAGTAGCTGCCAGTCTATCAAGGACAGGGTTTTGGCTGCAGGGGCTTCCTCTTCTTTGGCTTTGAATCTTCAGAGTCATCCTATTTAGCTGTGCCTGCACCAGCACAAATCACTTCTTGGCAGCAAGTTTCTTCTTCGTATCAGGCTTCTTAGCTCTTTTAGCTGCCATCTTGCAAGATGGGAAGATCCAGGTAAAACATATTTTAAAAATTCTTTATGAAACCCTGGTCATCAGGCAACAAAGAAAATTAAGAAATTAGAAGCAAAAATAGATGCTCAGTTTATACTTGGTTACAGCCTGAAGAGAATTTCCATGGAGAGTTGATATGAACTCAGGTGCAATTTGGATTTCTTGAGCTGAGGCATTGCTAAGAAAAATCTAGAGTCACTAACATGTCTATGGCCTTAACCAAATGCCAAGAAACACAAGACCTTCTCAGAAAAAGGGGAACTCAGGTACCTAAAGAGGATCCCCTCACAGATTCAACATACTGATCAGAACAAGTATTTAAGGAAACTACTGGAAGCTAGGGGTAAAGCTTGGGGACTGCTGTGGTTTTAATGTGTCACCTATATTTTCATGCAGTAGAAACTTAATCCCCCAATTCATATGTCAGTGCTATATGAATGTGGATCCTTTGGGATTAAGATTAGATGAGGTCATGAGGACATGACCCTATGATGACATTAATGGCTTCATAAAGAAAAAGAGTTGAGCTAGCAAGCTTGTCTGTCTATCAGGAGCTTTATGCCGTATAATGACACAGCAAGAAGTCCCTCACCTTCCTGAACAGATGCCATTGATACTTTCTTGAACTTCCTGGCCTCCAGGATTGTAAGACATAAATTTATTTTTTATATATATTACCTAGCCTCAAATGTTCAGTTATAGCAACCAAGAGTGGAAGAAGATGGTGGAATAGTAGAACCGAGAAGAGAGTAGAAGAGCCAAACAGAGCCCATGGCTCACAAGGGCTGGGATTAGTTCTTGTTGCTTCCAGATTGGAAAACTCAAAAACCATGGGAAGTTAGATAGACCAAACAGAAGAGTCTAGATTCAGTGGAGGGGAATAGTTAGCATCAGATTGAATACTGCCCCGTATGTGCATAATACTTGATAAAATGAAACTCCCCAAAGGATCAAACTGGTACCACTTTACTTATCCCAATCTTAACACTCAAGACTGTAGATGCAAGAGCAATTCAACTCTTGATGTGTGCTACCTCTGTCCTTTGATATAATTTTCTAAGTATTTTTTGATTTACTTTGTTTTCTTAGGAATAAGACAGCACAATTGCGCATTTCATATATTTGCCTTACCTTTACTCCCATATGACTTATTTCTTAAGCAAAAATGAAATAGTTTGTGGTTAGTAGTTTCAAATGATGAAACCAGAAACAACAATTGTGGGTTAATTCTTGAGTTTTCTTAACCTTCATAGGATTAGATCACACAAAGGGTGCAGTCTGGAATATTTATCTAGTCTCCTGTGTGGTTGGGATGAACATGAGCTAATTATCTTAGAAGGATGGCACAGGTGAATGAAGCAAAGTCACGGGTGAGTCTGATCACTGAAGAAATCTTCTACTTACATGTTTACACATTTGCAGAGAAATAACTAATCAGGAAACATTTTGGTGAGAGTGAAAATACATATGTGTCTTTAGTATATTGTTATAGAAGCACCTGCTAATGACTCTCTGGTGCTTTCCTGATTGTAAAGAACAGTGACTTCTGGTGAGCTGGGAACTTGACTAATGGGGTGACAATTATGCTTCTACATCTGATGACATTAATTGCAGGGCTAGGTTTCTGTAGGTGTGGTCACTGGTCATAAGCACAATACTCAGGAAGGAACATGCGAATGTGAAGAGGCCAACAGATTCCAGGGATGTTGCAAAGCTGATGCTAGTGAAATAGATTTTCCCTGACTAGCAAGCAGCATCTGCCTCTTAACCTGCTTTGAGAGGCTAGTTGTTCAGTGACGCATCTTCGGTACTCTTGCCTTGTGAGGATTTGTGCAAAGGGAAAAATTCTGGTAAGTTTTAGTATAGCACTGTGTTTTCTTCTTTTCTTTTTCTTTTATTTTCTTTCCTTTTTTTTTTACCAAACAAGACAGAATGACTATTTTATTAATTGGAATTGTGAAATTTTTGAAAAGCAGGACATTTTGTAGCCAAGGAAAGATAGAAAAGACACTGGCTGCATAATGTTTTCTATTTAAGATAATTCCTAAGTGTGAAATTAATGGGCTTCTACTTTTAAGGATCCAAGAGTTATCTTAGATTCCAAACCAATTTTATTTCCTATTTAATTTTCCACATAGATTGTTCAACTGCAAATCCTGCTTTTGGATTTCTGATAGATGATATTCCTAAACAATATATGTGTGCAGACAGATAGCTAGCTAGACAGGTAATTGTGATTACTGGAATAAGTTACTCTTATTCTATACAACCAAATGAGCTGAATATAACTGTATTATTATTTTATAATACTCTATACTAAAATTCACTCTGTCAAATAATACTTAATAGAAATTTGACATCTGGTCTGCTGATTCCAGGGCCTGATTTATAAATATTTCATGCCACACAGTACTGTATTTTCTTACTAGTTGCTTTTGGCACACACACACACACACACACACACACACACACACACACACACACTGTGCATGTGAGAGTAAAACTGAATGCAATGTGTCAAGTTTCAGCCTATTGTACTTTTTCAGAAAAATTTCAGCATTAATTGAGGAAAAGGACTGAATTTCAGCAGCTTTTTTCTTATCTACTTCAATCTTAAAGTGACTGACTCACTGAAGGGAAGCAAGATGAATGACTCAGAAGATACAAATGGATTGAAACTCTCCAAGGTGAGTTTACCATTTCAGGAGTAACTTTTTGTTTGTTTGTTTAATGAGCCAGTGTCATACTATATAGCCAAAGCTAGCCTAAAACTCATGAGCCTTCTGCTTTAGCCTCCCAAGTACTGAGATTCTTGGGGTTTGCTACAATGTGCCAAGTTGCTGGGGTAACTTTTGGATTAATAATGTGAAAAGGGCAAGAAAGTTTGACTTATATAGATCTAATGTAATTCCAGACTCTGTAGATTTGAGAAATTGTACAAATTACTTACTCTTTGAATTCTGGTTTTCTTACTTATAAAAGGAGTATAAAAACAGCTCCCTAGGGTGCTAAGGATTTTATGATATAATGCGAGCTGAGAGCCTATTGCCCTGCCTGTCATATGGTAGAAATATGATGAAAGCTGGTTATCTTAGGTTTGTCAGCTCTTTTTCTGGTCCCCTTTCCTGACATTGGAGACAGCCATGCTTGATGTCTGCAAATAGGAAGTATCCCCAAGACTGCTTAGGTTGCAATTGATACAAAGCTGAGAACAGCCTTGTTCTGATGATTCTGAGGAAATTTGATTTCATTTCATGTTTGGTTCTAGTATTGTAGTTGGATAGGCAGAAAGTATGTATCTTTAATGCTGAATTTTATTTCATTTGAATTCTGTGATATTTTCCTCTTCAGAGACCTTCAGGACTCAGACAGCTAAAATATATATAAGGTCTACCAACTTGCTCTAAATTTCTATCTATGCTTTCATTACATGTATCCATCCATGTATCTGACACTTAGGAGTTGAAACACTTACCATATGTCAGATGTAGTTCTGTAGTTCTAAGAGTTTAGAATTCAGCAGTGAATGAGGAGAAAAATAATCCTTGACTCCTGAGGGTGGGATTCAAAAAGTACAAGTCAGGAAATCATGAAGCATATTGAACTGGAATGGACCATTATGGAAAATAAAGTAGGAAAGGTGTGGGTATTGAAGTAGCTCAAAATCGGGTGATGTGGGCCATCTCGCTGGAAAATAGGATTCAAACACAGTCTTAGAGGAAATAAAGGGGAAGAGCATTTCAAGCTGGAGAAGCAGTAAGTATGCCATAAGGAGGAGGAAGCACTGCCTGTTCATGGAGAAGCAGAAAGGCCAGTGTGATTGACAAGAAGGGGATTCTGGCTAAGGGATGCTGGGGAAGTGATGGGTTAACTCATGTAGGTTATGGAGGCCTAATTACATATCACCAACAACACTGCCCCATGTTGAGAACAAGCTGATGGACAAAGGGAGAACAGATTCCCAGTGTGAGATCATTACTGTAACTGAAGTTTGCAGTGGAAGTGGAGAGAGAGAGAGAGAGAGAGAGAGAGAGAGAGCCAAATTCTCGGTGTAGGCTCAAGACAGAAGCAGCAGAGTTTTCCAATAAAGTGGGAAAGAATAAGTCAAGAATGACTTCTTGATTTGGAGAGGATGAAGTTGTCTTTATGTGAGGAAGACTGTTGCAGAGTCTCCTTAGCCACGGATGTTGGGAGCTATATTCTGGACAGTTATGAGTTTGAGAGGCATGCTGGATGCCTCAGTTGAGAAGACAGTTGGTCAATGCAGAAAAGAAGCTTAGAATTTAAAAAGTCTGGTCTGAAGGTAGACATTTGGGAGTGGCAGGCACACGGCACAATGCTTCAAGCTGTGAGAGGACCCCAGAACTACAGGGAGAGAGAAAAAAGGAGTCTAAAGACAAATCATATATATCTGTCAGTGTTGTCAAGTTAGATGATTAAAGAACACCAAAAAAAAAAAAAAAGAGTGTCTCGTGATGAGGGAAGCTAAGGGAAGATTGCTTTCAGAGAGGAGGCAGTGCTCAGGTCTGTTAAATTCTGCTGGCTGTTTAGGTAAGATAAGGACAGAATTAAACTTGGTAATGTGAGGCTTTTGTTGACTTGCTGAGAGAGCTAGCATCATGTGAGCATAACAAAGAACAGCAAAATGAGGTGGGGGTAAGGTGAAGACGGAGACATTTGTAGATCTACCCTCCCCAGTCCATTATTTGTACAATGGGAGGCCTTATTTAGAGATGAGTGCCTAATGCAGGCTAAAAGAAATGACACTCATAATCAACAGCTAAGACCCCAACAAGGGCAGGATCTACCACCTGGATTCATAGATTGGAACTATGACCAGCTTTTTGGTCAGGGAAACTTCTCCACAGGAATCCAACAGGCTGCAATTCCCACTGGCTGTTTTGAGCAAATTCACTTATGTACATTACAGGCTTGGGACCACCTAACCCCCTTGTCCACCGGGCCTGGAGAGACCTCTTCATTAACCTTCTTAAAACAAAAACCAACTGAAACCCTCCCAGACTTTATACTAGGAGGCTTCCTCTTCTCAGCCCGGCATGCCCCTACTCTCTTCCTGACTCATCTTTGAAGTAGCCACACGGAAACATGGCCTCTGGCTCTGAAACTGCCAGGTTTTCCTGTGTGATAATCATGCAATGTCTGGCAGCCTGGCAGAAGCCCACCACCACATGTAAATGGGGCATCCTGAAAGCACCTATCCACTAAGGCTTTTGCCACTGCCCCCACAGTATAAATGTCCTGGTTTCCCCTAATTAATCGGAGCTGAATCACTAAGACCTGGAGCCAAGCTGAGTCACTGAATAAGTACCACTGACTGAGCTGAGTTCTGTGTCTTACTGCCTATGATCCAGCCTCTCCGGGGGGGGCTATCCTTCCGTCATCGACTCACGGAGACCCTGCTTTCGCCGTCCTCGCACATCCCCACGTGATCCAGAGGCTGGTGGATTTCATATCTTGAGGGAGTGCAGGGGTGAAATTAGGGCGGAACTTGACCGGGCCAGCCCCAGTAGCAGAGGGACCCACAGCGGAGAAGCAGTGGAGAAGCAGGGACCCACCAGCAACGCAGAGCAGACCTGCTGCGGGACCCGCCGCCTTCCAGGTGCACGCAGGGGACCGGCACCACGCTAGCAGCTGGTGCCCCGAGATCCCTGCGCACCCCATATCTACAAATGTCCCTCAACTTGTCAAGATTTCCCTCACCGTCAGCTTGCTATTTTTTTCATTCATCTTTATTGTATGTTATTTGCTCTTTATCTTTATAAACCAGTCAGAATGGGCTGAGATGGGATTCCCTTTCAGATGAGTTTCTCTTCAGTCTCAATTGCTTCTAAAGTATGTGACCTCTTCCTTCTGTATAGTCACAGGCCTGGTCCTAAGGGGCTTGCTACTAGGCATAGCTGACCACATCGCCTTAGAATGGGAGGTACAGACCTTGCTAAGAGGAAGGCTTGGGGTGTGATCAAGAGGGGCAGATCGAAACATTCTTATCTCCTCCCTGGGAGGACTCAAGAATACCTGTGTTTTAGCACCTCCCTTCCTATCAGAAGACAACATGAAAATAGACACCTTGAAATTGAGATAAGTCAGTAGACACCTAGAAATTAAGACAAGTCAGAAGGACTTCAGAAAAGAACAAGCGCAAGCACATGATGGAGAAGAGAGAAAGGAATTTAAGGCACAAAAGGAAGCTTACTTAGCTGTGACCTGCCTTTCAGGGTTATGACTATCCTGGTTGGCAAGCAGGATTAACCTGTATTGCAAAAGTAGTGATTGTGGGATAGGCCCAGGTTCTAAGAAGGTGCTCTTTCCTGTGTTGATCTTAGTGGCTG